CTGATTATAATAGCTTATGACAGTTTACTTCAATCAAGGAACTCTCACAGTGACAGGTTCACTGAGCTCAGAGACTGAGTGAGTTCTGATTCAAGATAGAATATATTAAGAGAACTAAGAACTCAGTGAATGAACTCTCTTACAGATCAGACTATGTTAAGAAGATCAGAGCAACAGATATAGAGAGACTAGAGAAGATAGAAAAGCTTCATAAAATGCTTAGACTGAGTGTTATGAAGAGATTGACTGAAGAGTCTCTCAATCCCCTGTGAGAGAAGAGAAGAAAGAGAGAGAAGAAGCCTGTACAACTACTCTCTACAACACTGAGAGTCAACACTCTGAGAATCTCTGTGAGAATTCTTGAAGAGAATATCTATAATCTGAAGAGTTTGCAGGCTTTGAGAAGCACTGTGAAAAACCTGATATAAGAAGAAACAGAGTATAAGTCTTCACAAAGTCTTCTATTCAGATTGTCTGAACTATAACTGAAGAATGAATATGCTCAGCATATTCAAAAACTGCTCACAGCAGAGATCAACTCTGCAGAAATAAAGAGTTAAAGAGACTTAAATAATCTCTTACAAAGAGAGAACTGAATTTATATACCTGTGAATAAGTTTCTATATATAGAACTTATCAAAAGACATTATGACTCTTCTCTAGCAGATCATTTTATAGATACTAGAACTTATAAGTTACTTATAAGAAAATACTTCTGATTGAAGATGTGAGAACTTGTGAAGAAGATAGTAAATTCTTGTACTGTTTGTCAGAGTTTGTGAGTAGTGTGATTCAGATTATATAAAGAACTTACTCCTCTACTCATCTCACAGAAACCTTAAGAACAGCTAGAAATGAATGCTCTTATGAGCCTCTCTGAAAGCAAGAACATATATAATGCCTGCTTTGACAGTGTGCTGATGATAGTGAATCACTTTATTAAGATAGTACACTTTATACTCATCTGCAAGAACTTGAAGTCAAAGAATTTAACTTATATCTTTGTCTATGATGTGATCTGATTGCATGAGTTATCTGTGAATATTATCTCAGATAGAGAATCAATCTTCACAGAAGAGTTCTGATCTGATTTGATAACTATACTGAAGATCTTATGAGATCTAAGCATAGCTTTTCATCAACAGATAGATGATCAGACAGAATATCTGATAAGTATATTAAAACAGTATCTGCAGTGCTTTGTCAATTATAATCAGAATGACTGAGTGCATTAATTATCACTCACAGAGTTCATATACAACAACTTAAAACATGTCAGCACAGGTAAAACTCTCTTTGAGATGCTTACTGAGACTCATCTGTGAATAATCTTGATAAACCTGTGAGAGTACACTATAGAGTGTGATAATGCTTATAAATAGACTGAGAGAATTCAGAAGATCTGGAAGAAAGCTTATAAATTCTTAAGAAAGACTCAAGAGTATCAGAAGAGATACTATGACTTTAAGCACATTGTGAAGAGTTTTAAGAAAGATAATAGAGTCTGACTGAGTCTAGAAAATATCATTATATAAAGATCTAGTAAGAAGCTGAATCTCTTATGAACAGAGTCTTATAAGATTATGAAGAAAGTTAGCTTACAGTTCTACAGATTGAAACTGCTATCTGAGTTGTAGATATACAATATTTTTCATGTCTCTTTGCTTCATAAATATAAGAAATTCTTAGAAGAGAACTCTGTGACTCATCACTCTATTTATAAAGTACTAGAGAGTGAAAGAGAATATCAGATCAAAGAAATTATTGACTCAGAGAAGTGAGATTGCAAGCTCTGATTCAAGATTCAGTGATAAGAGTATTCTGATAAGATAAATGAGTTCACTTGAGAATTATTCAGACAGATAAGACATCTGCAGAAGCTGAGACATGACTTTCATACTGTGAATTCTGATAAGTCAGAATGATGTGATCTTTGCTAAGAATCTGATTATAATAAAGATATTAACACTGTTATTTATGAACTCTAGTCTATAAGATAATGAGTTTCTACTGAGATGAACAGTCTGCAGTGTATATAAGAAAAGAAGAAAATATATTCTCATTAAAGCTAAAAAATAAGAAAATAAACAGGGCTGCAAATATAATTTAGAGATTAATAAAGAAAAAATAAAGAAAACTCACACTCATATTATTAATATCTGTGATACTCAATTCTCTCATAACTATCAATTTCTCTCTTCAAAGAAACAGAGAGTATTATGCTTATAATACAGATAATTGTTGCATTTGATGTGAAGACTGTCAAAAATGCACAGACTTCAGAGAAGTCAGATATCAGAGTGTGTGTAGTTGCAGCAGAGTCTTGAAGACTGACTATCTGCATATATAACTAGATACTTCTTACAAAGCTGTGTCTGCTCTCTCAGTTATACTGAAGTATTCAGCCTGAAAACAATGAGAATGTGAAGAGAGAGCTCATCTGCTCAGATCAACTTCTGTCATGAATTCATAGCATTCACATTGCCTTGATTACTCAGATTTTGTGAGTACTCAGAGACTCATCTCTCATTGATAATGAGATTGTGAAAATACACTGCAGTGTGAGAATCATTGATAGAGAATCTAGGCATATTCACATATATCTGATCAGAGATTGTGTAGATAGAGAGGAAATGATTGTAGGCCTGCAGAGCTGCAGAAGACACTGACAACACTGAGAGCTTTGTAAGAACTGTCAGCTAGAATCTGTAAGAAATTACTTGTGAGAAGACTTACAGCAAAGAAGAAGACTGCACTGCTTGAAGTCAGAGACTGGTCTGAGAGAGGAATGAAATGAGCTGCTGGCCTGAAGATCAGGTGCAGTGACAGAACTGAGAGAAGTGAAGACACAGTTGTGAATAGCAGCATCTCTGCTTCATCAGTCAGTAAAAAGTGATCAGAGAAGTCACAGAAACATCTATGAGAAGCTCAGCAGCAGTCAGACATTGTTTGCAAAGATATTGAAATTGAAAATTTTTTTATTCTTGAGAAGTTCTTGAATCAATATATGAATATTGTCAGAAACACTCTCTCTCTATCATCTGAGTGAAAACACTTCACAGATGAATGAAGATACTCACAGTTTGTAAGAATGAAAGCTGTTATAGAAAAAGAAAAAAGAAGATGAGATTTCACAGACAGATCTGAGATATTTATACTACTCTAAAGAGATTTACTTACACTGTGAGTGATTCTGTGAAACAGTCAGATCACTCTAGTAAATAAGAGTGATTGTGAATTACAGATCTGAATCTTTCTATATAACTATAAAGAGTGATTGCAGACTGCAGATATCTTGATTTTACAATTTTACAGAGTTAATGAAAGAATGGAAAATTTCTCATAATTCTACAGTGTCAAAGAGCAATGATTTGTGAGAATAAATGAAAAATTAACTTACAAATATTTCTCTTTAATAAGAGTGATCTCATAGAGAGTGATTCACCTGTGAGATGAATCTGTGTGATAATCACATAAGAATCTCATGAAAATGATTGAGAGTCAACTGAAACTCTTCTGTATGAAAGATGTGAGATGAATCTGTATAATAGTCAGAGAAGAATCTGTAGATCATAAAGAATCTTACAGAATAAGAAACTGAGTGACAGACTCTTTTCTCTTTATAATAACAAGGAATTTTTTCTCACTGAGATTTTTTATAGATATGAAGAATTTTTAGTGAGTATCACTACAGTGCTGAGCTGACTATGAAGTCACTCAGTGAAAGGCTTCATGAACAAAGTCTTAGAGAGAGAAGAGTATGTAAGAAATCTCACTTCTTATGAATTCTTTACCTCTATTTCTATCTCTTGTGTAATTAATAGGGCTAGCAGCTCTTGGCTACACACAACTATATAGACTGGAGTTTGTGAATACTATTTATAACTCAGCTTGAATGCTATTATACATTTAATCTCTACATTTATCTTTCTATCACAAACACTTCTAGTAGTTAACAGTACATATCATGCCAAGCTGCAAACACCTGAATAATCGCCTGTGAGCACTTATTCTTACAATTTGATACAGTTAATGAGATATTGTTCAACTCAGCTGTTAAAAAGTAACTCAGCTATTAAAAAGAAGTGTTATATAATTGATTCAGAAGTTGTTGAAAGATCTCAGAAGTTATCAGAAGTTGTCACAAGTTAATATACTGTGTAAGATTGCTAAGAGATCAGAAGTTGTCAGAAGTTATCAGAAGTCACTGAAAAATACACTCAGTGCTTTAACTATAGTCTCTGATAACTGAATAGATGTTTTAATAGCAAGATCAAGATGTTGAATAACTAGATATAATTATAATTGAAAAATTAGCAAATTGTTCCTGTGTTTAAAATTATAGTAGCAGTTTTCAATACAACACTTCATACTCAGAATATATATATTTTCAGATAAAAATTACATTAATCAACAGAAAATTGAAAAATTAATTTCTCAAGATAATAGAGAAATAATCTATAAGTGATGTTACACAGTGATTCTATCTTAAATATTATAATTGAAGCAAATCATTCCTGTGTTACTAATAAACAGAAACTGTTTTTTCTCAGACACTCTGCAAAGAGTTTGCTGGGGATGTCCCATTTAGGTTTAGTGTAAGCCCTGTGACAGTTGATTGACTCAGATGTTAGCAGGACTTGGCAGAAAGTAGCAGTAGTTCGGATTGAGTTAGCTCGGAGTGGAGTGGCTGAGTTTACTGAGATAAGACACGACGACGACAAACGATAGCAAACTTGGGTGGAGGAACTGACCTGCAGTTTGGATCATCGATACATCTCTACGCGAACCGGGGAAGCTCCCGAATTGCCTGCTGTAGCAGTTCGACCTTATTCGATCCCTTAGACAAGTTTTTTTTAAGTCCGCCATTAGACGCCACTCCCGTGTCGATGCTAGATTGCAGCACCATCCTGCAAGAATCAGAATGTTTTCAAGGGCGCATTTGTCGTGCTCCATTTCTTCCGATTGCTATTGCTTGATACACCTGGGGAACAAGTCCTCATTTCCATCAAAGATTGACTCGGCAATGGGCTCCAGGAATTCCCCTTCCTGTCCTCCGAGTATCGTGTACAGAGCAGGCGCCTCAGCAGCACATTGTTCGCGAATATCCTACAAAGCCCAGTTCCACTCCCAATTTTGGCCCTTGAGAATTTCCTGAGCTTGTTCGTTATATCCGAGGTGTGCGCGTGGGTGTCTACCCTCGCTAAAATACACCCCCACCAGGATTTCTCACAGCTGTGGATGATCTCTGGAAATGGCGAGCAGGAAGTTAACAGCCTCAACTTCCTGCTCCTTCGTCTGCCATACCGGAGGCGGGATCGGGGCTCTCGGAGCTAACCAAATTGTGTAGGGCTCAGGTTTGGTTTCGAGAGGTGGCTCTAAAGGTTGCTGGATGCGTGGATACGGACTCGGAACCCCTGACCATTCCCAGTCCACTTTCTCCTCCTCTAGTATTTCTACTGGTTCGCAGCCTATCATCTCAATGTCTTCGGATATGCAGAATGAGTCCAGGCCCTGCAAAGGATTTAGACTCCCGCATCCTTGCTCAATGGCCGCCATCAAGGTAAGCCCTGTGTCATCCTCTGCAGGTGTTTGAGCGATGAACCAGTCACCTTTAGGAAGGGAATCATCGCCCAGGGCAGCAGAGTCAGGTGCAGTGTTTCGGTTACCTTTTGAAGACCTCCGATCGACGAACTCTTCATCATCGGGGTGGGAATCTTTTTCGACGGATGTCGTAGAATCGGATAGCTCGGCCTTGCCCGACATATAATAAGATTTTACCTATGTATCTGGACATCTGACTTCTTGTGCCCATCGGGAAATCCATGGGAAAGTCGTTGGGCCTTGGATTTGTTGTGGATCTTTAGGGTCATCGGCCCGTCCCCCCGTCGACGAAACATCCGGCTCCTCACCGGCTGGACAGACGTATGATTAGAATTAATCACTTTGAAGAGTCTCTAGCATGTTTCTTGCATGATTTTGTCACCAACAGCCCACTTACTCTTCTCGTCTTCTTCTTGCCAGCCAGCAGGCCCGTTCCATTGCCATTTACCCCAGCTAGTCGGTTTTAGCAAAGGGTATATGGCGAGCATTTCTGCTTGTATAAAGTGGCAGCGTCCATATTTGGCCTGCGTGGTTGGAATGATGTTTATGGGTCGATGTTTGTATGGCTAGGGCGAACAAGTGTGTACGACCGTGGAAGTTGTAAGAAGAATAATGATAACTGGAGAACAAGAGGTTGTTATAATGAAAGAGGTGAAGGACTACGAGAAGGAGGGAGATGATGGTATGAAGAGGGGCAGGAGAAGGAGAGGGAGAAGGAAAGGGTTAGAAGTAGAATATGCGGTCATAAACTCTAGTAGACGACGTACTTATCAAACATGCACTGCTTCTACCGTACACTCCTGTATATGAAGATTCGAAAGTGAATTTTCACAAATGCTCAGCATGTAAATGTACCAGTCAAGGTAGCCGGGTAGGATACACGTAAGTCCATTTTATTCGATCCTATGTCTCGAAACAAGAAGAATAGCATCGGCACATATGCTCATGTTCTCTACTCCCCACCCCTAGAGCAAACAAGCCGACAGGGGTTTTCAGAAACAAATAAATTAAGAAAAAAAAAGCAGGCGGTGGAAAGATCCGGCTTTGCCTCACTTTTCATACACTTTCCTTTACATTAGTAAAATCTTTCAGAAAGATATTTCATCATTCTGTATGTTTGAAGACATTATAAGGTCCACCATCTTCTTCCTTCCACAAATATTTCTCCTGAATTCAATTTCCGGTCTTTGAATCCACCCCAGGATGGGCAACATAAGTTAACATAGTTTATTTCCGCATCGTTCAACCATTTGAATCTTCACTCCTCCGCTCCGAATTCAATGCAACAAACCACCCCTGATTGTTTGCATCCCTCGTAATGATTGATAATACCATGTCCATCACAAGTTGCCAGCTTTTTGAGTTCTGTAGAGTAAACTGCGCTTAACATGGAGGGGAAATGAGGCGCGGAATTTACAAGGGGAAGTGGAAAAAGACGGGAAATGATATCAAGAGTAAATGGAGTCAGTCACCTGCCGAACACGTCTAAAATTTGAAAGTTATAGAACATACAAGTGACAAAGAAGAGAACACAGACCAAGCGAGTCATCCATTAAATATCTACTAAACAGTAGCAAGAATCCCGGTGACAGCCAAGAGAAGACTGGTCCATACCGGCGCAAAAAGGGAGAAAAATATTAATACGATATATCTAAACATCTCTTTCATCTTCATGTACGCGGGGACTGCCCCAAACAGCTCTGGTCAAACTCAAATCCAATCCCTAACCTCCCCCTCAGCCCACCTCCACAACCCATTCCCGACGGTTTCATCCTCGGCAAACCAATTCCTCGCCCAAACTCCAACAGGGTTGAAATACGCCCCATTCGTCAACATCTTCTTCTCTACCCCGGCAGCCCACAAATGATTAAGCGCCCCTTCCTCCTCACCTGTCAACAGGGGCCCCGCCGCAGCAGTTGCATACCTCACAAGCGGATTAGAGAACTTCGTCGGTGAGTATAGGTTGGTCAAGATTAGACCTGGATGGAGAGATACAGAGGTTATTTGCGGGTAGAGGCGGGCTAGTTGCGCTGCGAGCGCGACGTTGGCGGCTTTAGAGCAGCCGTAGCGCGTCCAGGTGTTCTCCGTTAGAAGCTTCGCTGTGGATGTCATGGTCTCCAGTGGATTGTAGGCTGGAGCTAGTTGCCAGGCCAGGGATGAGACTGAGATTACCCGCACGTCTGCTGTTGCTGGCTGGCGGGGGACATTCGAGGCTTTTGCAGTTTCGAGGAGGATAGGTAATAGGAGTTTTGTAAGGAGGAAGTGGCCGAGGAAGTTTGTGCCGAATTGGATCTCGTAACCGTCCTCGGTAGTGTCTGGCGGTAAGGCCATTACGCCAGCGTTGAGGATTAGGATATCGAGCCGGCTGTTTTCGGACTTGAAGGTGGATGCGGCAGTTTGGATGGACTGGAATGATGCGAGGTCGAGGGGTAGGAAACGGATGTCAGTAGCTGAAGTTTGTTCGGTGCTCAGGGAAGATTTGATATCTGTTATGGCTGCAAGCGCTTTATCTTCGCTGCGCGCGGCCAGGTAGATGCGGGATGGGCCGTGTTTGGCGAGTTGGAGGATAGTTTGTTTGCCGAGTCCAGTATTTCCTGGTGATATAGTTAGACACACACGCTAGGTGATCAGCGCACTTCGCACCGTCTACAGGAGACCATGGGCCCTCTATTATGTGATGAAAGGGGTAAAGAGAGCAAGTTGTCCGGAACATACCTCCTGTGAGAAGTATAACCTTGCCTCTTAGATCCCCCATATCTCTCTCCGGCGCAAACACTCTTCTACCCAATAGTTTTGAGCCGATATGGCTCACCGTCGATGCGAGATACATCAGATTCTCTACTGGGTAGTGCAACATGCCAGTTATAAACCGGGCTGTGGATATCACCTCCTGCCAAGCGCTGGGAGTTTTTCTACCATGAGTCGATGGGGTAGCTGAAGCTGAAGCTGAAGCTGAGAGATTCATGGTGGTTTTTCGACACTCGGCTACTTCACTGTTATCGATGCTACTATTAGTTTCGTTGCTTCTGCTCCCAGATTCTGGGGGAGAAGATGCGAAAGTATCATTTCCCTGAAGCATTTTGGGTTGTTCAAAAGTAAAATTCTTGGGAATCAAACTTTCGATCTTGCTGCTGGGGACGCTGGCCCATAAACCTCAGGGGATTGAAAGAATATCCTTGATCCGCTTGATGGTTCTGTACTTCAAGATTTTAAGCTTGAGTTGGCGCTTTAGTCTCTGGATCTTTGCCTTCGAGTATAATCTGGCTTTATATGCGCCAAGGGCAGCAGATATCTTCTTGTTTCCTCCTTTCTTTTTCCTCCGCAAAATCGAGAGATGGAAAGAAGAACTGCCCATGTATATAGATGTGAAGTTAATGTACGAAAACGAAACCCGGGAGACCGATGCAAGTAAGGAATAAAAAGTAAACCAATGGACAAGCAAAAGGAATATTTATGACTTCCTGAAATGTTAGGAATGTGCTAACTTGAGATTAGCAAGCGCGGTAGGTGTCTGGACCGCAACGAATGGCAAAGATAATCGGTGTATATAAGTCGTCGATATCAATACTTTCCCCTGCGCTTGGAATCCCTGTGATGAGGTTGTTGCTGATTGTCGTCAGTGATTTGAAGATGCGCCAGTTGAGCACGGACCATGCAGCTCCGGCTACGGAAGTGTCATCTGTACTATTTTTGTAACTAGAAAAATTCCGAGTTCATCTTAGCTCAGATAGATGTTATATACGGAGTATAGCCTCTTGACTACATACATTTATAAATTGAAGAAGAATAATATATTATCTAGGAATAAAAAAACAGAGAGAGAGAAATAAAAGTATCATAGCTGATGTCAAACACCAGATATCCAGCCTATGCTTAACGTTCATTCTAGAGAAAAGGTGCCAATGCTGTCCCAAGATACATACAGAGACTCGAAAATCCAAGAAGTCGAAGAAAAGGAGATATTAGAACTCAAAACTCTCTACATGTAAATATATCCCTTGGGCCCCCGTACCCTTATGGACTGCCCGCTCGTCACTTAGCGACACGATACTGCCACGTACATCACTATTAAGCCCACGTGGGCCACATACCACGACGCCGCTCTCGCCTTCAGCCACCTCGAGGACTTTGCGGATTATGCCACGCGAGTCGGGCCGGCCCGAGAGAATTCGGACACGAGGGTCGAGTACTGACTTTGGGAGTGGGTGGGAAGTGAGCTCTTGTGTGGTGGCGGTGGTGGTTGTTGTTGGGGAGGGCTTTTGTGGTGGAGTTGGGTTTGAGGTGAGGGTTGATTTTTCTTGGGTTATCGTCTGTTCTCGTTCTGATAGAGGAGTTTGTGGTGAAAAAGATGGGCCTGAGCAGTTGCAGGGTGGGAAGGAAGAATTTTCGTCGGTGACTTCGCGCGTGCAACAGCATCCGCCATCTGGTTGGCACTCGTTACGTCCCGTTTGTGGGCCGGATTCATCGGTTGTTGAGGCGGAGGTGATGGAGATAGTTTCAATGTTTTTCTCCAGGATTTCTTCTCTGGCTAGTTCACTTTTTAGCAAAGCAGGGTTGGTAATTTGCAGCTTCACTGATTGTGGTGATGGCAACTGCGGTTCGGATTTTGATGTTGAAGCCATCTCCTCGTCGCATGTAACATAGATGCTGATCTCGAGCTCCCCCTTAAAGGTAGGATTACGCTGCTGGCATGCATCTATATCTTGTAGGGCGGCATCTAAATGCTCAGAGAACCAGCTGAGTAGTGATCGGGATCTAATTACCCAGATAAAGCGGATCCGTTTGGTAACTGACCGGTTGGGAGATGAGAGGAAAGACCCACGCTGGGGGGCTTTGACTAGACATTCGCTCTTCCAGCCCTCCACAAGATCACGCATTAGGGGCATGGTGAATGTGGCGCCCATACCCCCAGCAAGTAGCACCAGGCTATCGAACTGCCGTAGCGGCCTTATCCTTCCGTACGGGCCTTCTACTCCGACAAGCTTAACATTCCCGGAACTAGTGCAGCGCCCGCCCAGAAGGTCATGATTTTTTGACGCATATGAGAAAAATTTCTTCGTTCCCCCCTTTTGTGCGCGCACTAGGAATTCTAGTTTCTTGTCCCCCGGAATCGAAGCTATGGTAAGAGGATGGCTTTGAAGTGGGACCAGGCCATGACATGATAGTAAAACATGTTGTCCAGGCTTCCAGGATATCACTGGGTTCGGCACTGTAATTCGTGTAACATTTCCGGGGAGAGGGGTGAAGGTGGCCTCGTGAGCCCAAAGGCGTTGTGCGGTTGTTGCGTTCCGACGCGGATGAAAAATTGAGAGGTTGGAGCATAATACCAAGGCATATCTAGCGAGTCGATCAAAGACGAGTAATCCAATCGGTATCCACACCCACTCTCTCACCTCATCCTGAGCATGATACCACACAGCTACGAGGAAGCCAACAAATGTAAGAACATGCACCAACACAAAGATCTCGTAGCTGAGTTTCCGCACGGGCGCCACCGAGACCAAAACAATGAAGGTCAAGATACACCAGGCAGCGAATCCTCGCTGTGTTATGGGGTCTGTAGTCAACTTTACTGTAATGTAATCATATCTGGCCCAGGAGCGGAACCAGAACCCCATATGGATGGTTGCGGTGAGCCACATTGTCCTTGCAACCCACCGATGAAACCAATTTAGTCTCTCATAGCTCGACCCGATGAGGAGGCCAATGATATTAGTTTTGTTAGAGAGGAGTATCACTAGAGGTAGCTGTGCGAAAGCGACAAATCCAGTGCGATAGCCCACACTCTCCCAGCTCCATTCGTCCAACATGTTCATTTTGTATGAGCAGAGGACCATAACCACGATTAGATTGGCAAGCATAAGCATCGTCGGCCCGAGAGGGGGTAGATGAAATTCGGCACGGCCTATAATGATCGGGGCAAGGGGGTAATTGGAAACCTCTCTCATCATGGCCGTAATGGTAGCATATATGCTAAAGAAAAGAGATTTCGGTTTCGACGGGGTCGGGCTCGAATCAACAAGTCTGCCAACTCGTTTCCGTTAGCAGTGAGATATCCATCATTGAGCGATGAGCGCAAGATGCATAACTCACCTCTGGGCTGCTACAATCTTGTTCAGGACATTGCCCACGGTGGCTACCCCGATGGCGCTCCCCACCACTGCCCAGTACATCTGTTGCATATAGAAGTAGCTGGGAGCATCTCCTGTAGAGGCACCTCCCCCTCCCCCTCCATGCCCGGCATGGCTCATTGTGCTGGTTGTTTACCCCAAAATGGGGGTATGGTATGTTCGACAGATAAAAAGTGTCCGATATACGAATATGAAAATATAAGGGATCAATGATATCTTTTGATGTCTCTAATTGCTGGGAGAAAGAAAGGCGTCCAATGTTGCTTTCTTTATGTTCCTCCCATTGCTGACAACAGACTAGAGCAGAGAAACATCTACCGTCGCATAAAAACAAGCAACACAGGAACGACAGGAACGAGAAGTTATGAGAACCGATTGTTCCGCTCAGCGCTTGAGAGCGGGGCAGGGTCCTTGGATAGGAAGCACAATGTGGAAGCACAGATGTCACAGATAATAATACACAGACAGCCGTTCTCCGCGAGGGCTGGAATCGCTCACGGTGGTAATTTTTTATTATCAGCAACTCAAAGCCCAGAGGCAAAATGAGCATAATATTACGCCATTATCAGCAGGAATTTGCCGGCAATATTCCAGCAAACATCTCAGACCTTCTCGGCGGGCTTTCTTTTTTTTTTCTTAGCCGCTGCTGTTGGAGTCAGCATACATTGAAAATGTGCTCAAGCGCGCCCCCGCCGCGTGGGCTAAACCGTATCCAGCGCAAATCTGGCCTATCCCCGTGGCCCCGCGACCAGGATGCGAGAAGCGAAGATAGAACGGCCTGTGCAGATATCGGATCTGGCGGGCGATTTCCTGAGAACCCTCGTGCCGGGTGGTTTGACTCAAGGGGTCATCATCATGCTTGGGTGCCACAGGGGAGCCCCACGCTGAGTCTGATACAAACGATGTCTGGACTCAAAAGAAGGTGATGGACGGGGGGGGGTTTGGTGAGACATAGGAAACTTGAACCCTTCCGGCGGCGCCAGATCATCTCGTACATCCGTATCTGCGACCAGCGGGGATCCAGTGTACCATTATAGCTCCCGGTAATCGTTGGGATCTAGCTCAAAAGTGCTCCTAAAAAGCACTCCGCCTTCTTCTCGTACTCTTTTTGCTCACCACCCCTCCAGGGCATATACGAAGACACCACGCCTCAATCGTTTCCTGCAGGTATATACATACACCAGGTCTCGCCCGCTTCGGCTTCCCTCTTCTCTCTTCCACTGCATAGTTGTCTTCGTGACCTGTTGCACTTAGTCCGTCCGACCTGTCGGGGTCAACTCTGCCCTTTACTGATTTCAAGGCCTGCCGATATAACAGATCTTCAAGCCTGGCGTTTGAAGTGCCGTATCCACCGCGCCCTTGGGCTAATTTTCCCGTCTGCTTTTAAAGAGGCATCCAAGGGCCAGCTTGGGACAGAGTTACTGCTTGTATCTGCCTCTCTGCTATACGCTCATTTTTATTTTATTTATTTTATTATTATCTTTCGAACCCATTCTTGAAAGATATATCATACTCTAGCGAACTGGTGATAGGAAGACAGAACATACGTGTGCGACGAACTCGCTGTTTTCATATATACTTCGTGTCCTTGGATACTTTCTCAAGGAAAGCAGAAGGATTTAATACCTCTTTCAATCGGCCCTGGTGAACACAATATACAACTAAACTCGCCTACGGATCGACATACACAGTGGAACTCCTCACAAACAAATCAACCAAAAGAAAAATCACGAAACAAATTACAGCAAAATGTCTCCCTCCCCTCAACATGGTGGCCACGGCGTATCCTCCCATCCCTCTGGCGGGGAACTGCATATGATAATGGCCTTCCAAAACGTCCAAGCAACTCCCCTCTTCGCGATCGCCTGGACCCCGAACTCCGCCGGTGCCTACGCCGGGACCTGTATATTCCTTCTTCTCTTCGCCGCCATATTCCGGGTCCTGATCGCTGTCAAAATCCAACTAGATCACCGATGGACCGCCGCGGCCTATTCGCGCCGATATGTTGTTGTTGCGGGCCATACGCCGGAAGCAGAGCGGATGCAGGATGACCCCAACGCGTCCACGGCCACGCTGATTACGGCGCATGGCGTCGAGGAGAAAGTTAAGGTTATCAAACGGCCGCTGAATCGTACACCACCTTTCCGGTTTAGTGTTGATTTACCGCGGGCTCTATTGGTGATGGTTCTTGCTGGTGTGGGATATTTGCTGTAAGTGTTTCGCCCTGTTCTTTCGTTGTTGGATGGATATTGGAAGAAAACAGTGAAATAGATATATAAAAGATGTGAAACTAATATGGTATTTTTATATAGCATGTTGGCTGTAATGACTATGAATGTTGGCTACTTTATGTCGGTTCTGGCTGGTGTCTTCGCTGGTGACCTTGCTGTTGGCCGATTCGGGAGTTCTGCTGAAGCCCATTAAAAATATGTTTCATTTTTCTTTGCTTTGCTTTCAGTATTACGAATGTTCTATGGCACGATACATCTTATTTTATTTGAGCAGTGCCTTGGGGAGGGTCCGCTCTTCGTTCTGTACATATTCCCCATTCTTGTTTATTGTCTTTTCTCTTCTAATGGATGTAGCATTATGGAATAGAATTCCGCTTCCATTCGCACCTACAGTCCATTTACATTTCCCCGTATCACTTCTGCAGGCCGCCCTCCTTTGTACGAGGGCGGGATAAAAATGACTTGACAACTTGACACACAAATATACAACGTGTCACGTATCATGAGCCAACTATTGGCTATTCCCCTTCCGACTGTTGCCTTATACCCCGTTTCGATTACCATTTTCCGTTATACCTCTCACAACGTATCCAATGACCTTCGGCGAGTTTCCAACCTTGGTAACCCTACGGATTGCTGCTCAAGGACATGACCGTTCACATCATAGCAACATCCCTTCATGCGTCAACCGAGCGCGGATGCATGGGCATTGCAGATCTAGCTGGGTAATTGATATGTAAAATGTGCATTACCTTCTGAGTATATAGCATATATTCCCAGCCGAGTGGAGTTTGATGGCTTACCTATCTTCACTTTACAGAGGTGTACATATATCAGCATGTTAGTATTAGGCTTAAGCCGCACCAGAACCCGGCGGGAGAGGGATTAAGGCAATGATATCCATTTGATAATCTGGATGAGAAATGTGGTACATGTTAAAAGTTGGTTTCCGGCGACGCAAACGAGATGAATAGATTATCTATGGTAATTTACACTGCTTTTCAAAAAGCCAATCGCGGGATTGGAGATGGCTATTCCAAGGTTTGACTTGACATAACCAAGATAGTTCAAGACAATATCTGCTACTTACTGAGAGAACCTTGCTAGCTAGATTATAATACACACAACATGAATTATATCTTAGTTACCCGCCTTTTTTGGTTCTTTTTTTTTTTTTTTTTTTCCCATCTATATATATATTATTTATTTTATTTATTCTTCCTTTTATTAACTTTCCTCAATTCTTCATCCCCCCTGCTCTTTTGCTTGGCGTCGTGCTAAATCCCCCGCCACGAGGCAATCAATCAACAAAACAAAACGCTAAGTAGGTGGGCTTCTTGTGTGGGTTTGTGACTCCACGCTTTGAGCACAATTGAGCAGATTCTTCTTGTTCTTTTCTTTTTCTTTTTCTTATCGTCTTGTGTGTGTATTTGTGTGTTTTTGTTGATCGTGGGCGTTGTGTCTGTTTGCGATAGTGTAGAGAAGTTACCGAGCATTCTTTTATCAATTCGATCTGACATGTGGAAACTTGCTGTTCTTCTTTTTTATGTACTCTAGGGCCGGATATATGGCGTAAAGATAAGTGTATCTAAAATATTCTGATGATTCAAGAGTTGTTTCTCTCCACTTGGAGCGTCGTAGGAGCATTATTATTGCATAACTAGATAACCAACGAATATGACCGCTGAAAGAGGGTGGTATGGTATACGTATTACAGGCACATCATTATTTCAGAACTCCGGCGGTGGAGCATGCGCACTCCACGCCCGAGCCATCTGGCGATCAGCCCGTGGTGGAGGAAGAATCACCTTGGCGGCATATCCCAGCCGCCTCTGCCGTGTGCTGCCGTAGGGCCATAAGCGTAGCTTGCTTTAAATATTTAATTGGCATGCCCCTCGCGTGTGTTTTCTATTATTTATTGTGACTCCGTATATGTTCATTTTCGAAGCAAATCCGCTTGTTGGTTGATACCCACAGGTTTCACGTTTTCACGAGCCACCGTGCTGACCGTCCTGTTTTTTAGCCTCTGTTCCTAGTATGTATAGGATCTTCAATGTGTTTGACTTGAGCTGCGCAGTTTCCCTGTCCCTAGCTGATTGGGGTTTACGTTTACTCCGTCAACGTTGTCCATCATTGCTCTCATAGATTATTAGTAAACTGACGCCGATTGCAAAGGCCCCAACCCGCATAGAGAAGCAACCACGCAGCGGCCGCAAACATGCAGCTCCCAACCAGCCTCCTCCATCTAACCTACCTCCTTACCCTCGCGTCCGCTCACTTCGAACTCATCAAACCAGAGTCTCGCGGCACCCAGTATGACAAACTCACAGAATACCCCTGCGGCGGCCTCCCCGTCTCCAGCAAACGCACGAGAGTCTCCCTCATGGACCCAGAGCTCAACGTCGCCCTGAAAATGGGCCATGACCACAGCGCCGTCCAGGTCCTGCTAGCCATTGGCCCGGATCCAGGCACGAATTTCAACGTCACCCTGGTCCCGACTTTCATGGAAATAGGCCTGGGTGACTTCTGTCTGCAGGACGTGAAGTTGACCGAGGAGAAACTCGGGACACAGTTGACGGAGGGTCTGGAAGCGACTCTGCAAGTTGTGACGAATGGGGATCCCAACGGCGGGTTGTATAACGTGAGTACCTCCGTTCTCAGATGGTAGATATATATCTGGGTATGCAAGGCTTAAGGATTAAAAGGCCATGAGCTGACAATTTCTCTCTCCTTACTTGTCAATCAATAGTGCGCAGACCTCGTATTCACCGCCTTCCCTTCCGATGACGACGACGATGCTTCCTGCAGGAACGGCACTGGTGTCACTGCCAAGCCTTTCCCAGAGTCAGTGGGCCGCATCAACGCTAATGAATCTACTCCAAATGGAGAGAGACAGGGTGGATCGGGAGGTAGAAATGGCGGCGACCAAGGTGGTGAGAACAATTCTGCAGCATCGTTGGAAGCTGCTGCGTGGGGAGTTTTGGGTGCGGCAGTTCTGGCCGCCGGTGCGCTCCTGTAGTTAATTTGGTTTGCATGGTTTTTTTTTTTTTTTTTTTTTTTTTTTTTTTTTTTTTTTTTTTGCTATGTTATTTATTTCTCCCATCGGTGCTCAGCTTCTTTTTTCTTTCTAGGATTATTTCTTCGGGTAGCGAAATGTTTCTTGCTTTTTTTATGATATTGGAAATGCCTCCTAGAATGAGTGCGCAGATTGAGCAGCGTATATATCCTGAATGAAATGCCATCGGTTGTCCCTCCAGCTATTTAAAAAAAAAAAAAAAAAAACCCATTAATGTTTCCGCGTAGGTTAATTCCCGTCCCAAAAGTATTTATTTATAGTTTTGAGTCAAACTTCCACCGCAACAAATAAAGGCGGTGAATCCGAGCAGAATAACTACCTCAGTGCGCCAAGACGTTCCTTTTGTCGAACCATATCGCATTGAGGTAAACTTGTGCTCGTATGATTATATCTTTTCTCCCTGTTGTCACAAGAGTTTACTTTACCGATCATGGCTGCACCGCTCGTTGTTCCCGCCCTGACAAGGCACACTGCCACCGTTATCATGGCCCATGGATTGGGTGATAGGTTCGTCTGCGATCCCTGTAAATGTCTCCAGGGGCTCTGTATTGATTAGAGGAGGATGGAAAAGAGCTGAAGGGAAAGGAAAGAGACTATTTGCTGACTTCTTATCTTCTTTATTTGTCAATGTACAGTGGTGCGGGCTGGTACGTTCCGTATCTCGCGCGACCTTCCCTTGCCTCGTCCTCTTTCTCCCCTATAACTACAATTCGCGCTGTGACGCGAAATGCAACAACAGACAATTTCGGCCATTCAACTGACGTACCGAATTTCATTGCTTTGGACATGTAAAGGATTATGCTAGCCCATAATTTCCGGCGTCGTGGCTTATTCAATGAAGTCGCGTTTATTTTCCCCAATGCGCCTGCTATTCCCATTACAATTGTACGAAAATATCCCCACCCACCAATAGAGAGGAACCAGAGAGAGAGCAAACCAATTGGATAGAATCTTTATGAATAGAAGTTCGCTGATGTGCAGGTGTGATGGTTGAATATTAGAACTTTGGCATGTCGATGCCCGGTTGGTATGATATCGTGAAGCTGGGAGCGAATGTTTGTTTTCCCGTCCAGCCGCCCTGCCTCAGGATCCTGCCGTTCGAGTGATAGTTGCTAAATAAAAAATGGCCGCCTGCAAAATCACAATACCAATAGGTACCCGTTGAAGAATTCTCTAAAGCCCAGGATGAGCGCGGAATCCTGAAATCACGCGACTATTTCAACAGCCTCATCAAAGCAGAAATGGACAAGGGCATAAGCCCTTCACGCATCGTGCTGGGAGGCTTCTCGCAGGGAGGTGCCATGTCACTTTTCACTGGCATCACACAGAAAGAGAAGCTGGGCGGCATCTTCGGTCTGTCCTGTTATTTACCACTCGGCGAGAAGATATCGACGTTCATGCCGGACGGGTTTCCGAATAAGCAGACTCCGGTCTTCATGGCGCATGGCGATGCTGATTCTACAGTGCTATTTGAATGGGGCCAGAGGTCAGCTGATAGTCTGAAGGCACTGGGAATGTCGGTGGACTTTAATAAATATGCGTATGTTTTCTTTACACTTTCTCCATTCCTCTTTCATTCTATTCAGACTTTTACATGCCCTGACGGGTGCGATAACGCTAATTCCAAATATAGTGGTATGGGCCATTCGGCGGACCCGGGGGAGATGGCGGACTTGGAGAAATTCCTGCACAGGGTGATTCCAGCAGAGGATGCAAAGACAGACGCACCTAAATCGTGACTATGGACACCCTCAGGTAGTAGTCAGCGGTGTCTTAGTACGTCGATATTGGCCTTGTTCATCTTGCTCGTCGTGTTGATCGCTTCAAAGCGATTCTCACGATCAGCAGCAAGCAAATGAAAGGCGGACGTAATCGTTAATTGGACATGGGGATAATAAAGCCGTTGTGGGGTCTATGTGCATACCTACCCGTAGAACCAACGAGCTTAGATATATATATTTGGATTTTTTTACTTTCTGATATTGTTGTTTTATATATCTCTTTTACATCATGAATCTGTTTAACTAACCATAGTCATTTCTAGCACCTATTTTACTGTTTATTCTTGTACACAATCTCAATTAATTACCTGGAATTGAATTGCTTGGTATGTTCGACCAGTAACTAAAACAGTGACGTAATTATGTTCACCGAGTTAGCCAAGCCGGCAAAGCTCACAACTCTGCATGTCATCATCTTCATCATCTTCATTACAACCCATTTCCACTCAACTGCCTACAATCCCAACAATATATAAAATAATTATACACCCTCTCTTAAATCTAACGACCAAGAAAAAATATCCTCAAAATGTTCCGCTTCGTACGCCAAATCACATCCCCATCCCCGTCTCCCATTTACACACTCCCAGTCCAACTGACCAAAAATAACACAGCACAAAACCCTCGACGTAATAACCCTCTTCCACAAACCCTCCCTCCCAGCCTCCACTCGTGTCCTCACCCTGCTCAAACAAGCCAACGCCGACGCCGCCGCCGCCGCAACCCTCGACCAAGCCTCCGACGCCCCCGCCAGCCGCCGCTCCGAGTTCGAGCTGAACGTGACAGAAGACCCGCCCACGCCCGACCAGCTCAAGAATATCTTGGACTACGTGGGTGCCGGAGTGGGCGGGGAGGTGGCGAAGACGAGGGGCGGCGCGGCGATGGCGAGGCCGGGTGACCTTGTGCGGGGGGCGAGGGATCGGTTGGATGCGCTGAGGAGGCTGAAGGAGGATGGAGGGCGGTTTGTGAGGCCTGTGGTGAGTTTGGTTTATGTTTTACTACTGTTGTTTTTGTGTTTTCTTTTCCATCACCGGTACGCAGTATATCTCGGATGGCCAGGCTGATTCATTCGTTCTCTTTTTGAACGACCAAATGAGAAGGTCGTCGATTGGAATAACGGTACAGCAGTGATTGGCGATAATGAATCCGAGATTCTAAAGCTGGTGCGCGAGATTCCCGCGGATACGTCGCCGCAATAAAATAGGGAGGCAAAAACGAGTTCGACGATTGGTATCATATCATGATGGATGATTATTCGAGATTTGTTTCAGGCGGTAGGCGGCCTGTTCGGAGAGGAGGTTGGGGGATAACTAGGCACGGGGACGGGGACGGAGGTGGCGAGGAGAGGCATTAAAGCATATAATTGCCCGGTTAGCATCCATACATTGTACTGTATATATATAATATTTTGGCTACGACGTGGGTTTTCCACAAAGGGGAAAGAAAAGGATCACGACACTTGGGCGCCGATGACCATTGAAACTTTTATCCGGAATCCAGGGGGCAAAGCGCTGGCTGCCATGCACGCGCCTTCTGGGTGCATAACTACGTTTGCCCACACACGGCATTGAGCGAACAAAAACGGAAACAGGCATCTTCTGTATCATACTATCAAGTCATTCCTATTTTTATTTTTATTTTTATTCTCTACTTTGGTTGATACTTTCTCTGGCCGTCATGAGAACATGTCCAGGACTGGAACAAAACTGTGTATTTCGCCCTCCTCCGTTATATAACTACCTAGGTACATATACTGGGCATACATATTCAAAGTACATACATGCAGTAGACATATCCAGCACAATCATCCTGAGGTCCCTACACCCCACGAGATACAGACATATAATTAGAATATTTGATCAGCAGTTCTATTGCCTATAATAAGAGTCTCATAATCTATAGAAGAATCAATGTTCTTGATCTTATAATCTAGTCCGCAAGGCTTTCTATATAGAATGTGGGACACATGACTGCAACAGTATCAGGTGTGTGAGATGTGTACACGGCGGCAGCAGTGTGTACTTCAGAGGGAGAGCTAAAGTTGAACATGTGCCCAGAAAAGTGATCAGTTTGTTGGCACCATGCTCACTCAACTGTTACCCGGTATATACTTCTCCCTACTGAATCGCGCTTCGACATACTGTACTCCCACGGCCTGCATGTCATACCATCTGACGGAAGGAAAATCCATCTCCTTCCAGTTATCATTCCGTCTCATTCCATCCCATCTTCGATTTAATATAAAGACCTGTAATCTCTTTCTAGCTACTCCACAAACAAGTAAGTCCCCGGAGGGTCAGGGGAGGTGGGGGGGGGGGGGGGGGGGGGGGTTTGTTTACTTGGGCGCCCCCTGTATTCTTGGGGGAAATATAAAAAGAGGGCTTGGGGGGTCTATGTTGGAGAAAAGACGGAGACGTAAGTTATCTAATGCAAACGGGAGAAAGAAAGCATACTTCTATTTTGCATCAAAAGAAAAGAACACGGAAGAAGAGAAAATAAAAAAAAGTAATAGAAAGCATTGATGGAAACTCGTGTAATTAACAAAAGCTAAAGTACGGAACGCCGGACAGGGAAGCACTAGAGATTTTTTTTTAAAAAAATTAAGAGGATAGAATAGGACCAGGGAACCATGATGTAAACATTAAAGACAAACCGAGTGCACGAAAGAAGAAATACAAATATCCTCTGTCAGAAAAGCTTAGGGGGACCAGTTGTCTGTAGGGTAAACCGTGCATGCCGAAACGAGGATAAGGGCGGGGGAAAGGAATATACAGCAGAGGAGCGCCCCATGATCGGATATAAAGTATGGAAGAAAATGGGGGCAAAAATAAGTTATGATAGTTTGAGTTGTTGTGGTAAGGAACATACAATGCGTGTTGACAATATCTAACTATAAAGATGGAAGCAAGGAAAAGCAATCGTACGCAAATGGATAGCAAAGAGATGACAGAGAGAGAGAGAGTCCTTAGGCGCATAACAGGCATTTATCGCGGAACAAGGAATAGGCCATAGAACGTCAAGGAGAGAGTGCTGGCGGGATATATAGGCAATTTTGTTATTGTCGAGCAGAGGACCAGCCACTAACTATTAGGCGTGGAATCTAAATTGATAATCCTCCCATTCGTGGGCTTCAACTCCTTTATAGTTCGCATGGACCGGATGATCGCCCCCCAAAATCAAAATAAAAATAAAAAATAAA